CTGACATCATCTGACCCAGCTGTTCATCCTGACCTTGTCTGACCTTCCTGATCCTGTCTGTCCCTTCTGATCCCGTCTGACCCTGCTGTTCATCCTGACCCTGTCTGTCCCTCCTGACTCCGTCTGACCCCTCTGTTCATCCTGACCCTGTCTGTTCCTTCTGACCCAAATTACTCAGTTGTTCATCCTTACCCTGTCTAACCTTCCTGACCCCATCTGTCCCACCTGTTCTTTCTGACCCCATCTGACTTTCCTGACCCCGTCTGTCCCTCCTGACCTCATCTGACCCAGCTGTTCATTCTTACCCTGTCTGACTTTCCTGATCCTGTCTGTCCCTTCTGATCCCGTCTGACCCTACTGTTCATCCTGACACTGTCTGACCTTCCTGATTCCATCTGTCCCGTCTGACCCTACTGTTCATCCTGACACTGTCTGACCTTCCTGATTCCATTTGTCCCTCCTGACCCCGTCTGACAACGCTGTATATCTTGACCCTGTCTGTCCCTCCTGACATCATCTGACCCAGCTGTTCATCCTGACCTTGTCTGACCTTCCTGATCCTGTCTGTCCCTTCTGATCCCATCTGACCCTACTGTTCATCCTGACACTGTCTGACCTTCCTGATTCCATCTGTCCCTTCTGACCCTGCTGTTCATCCAGATCCTGTTTGACCTTCCTGACCCTCTTGACCCCGCTATTTATCCTAACCCAGCTGTTCATCCAGACCCTGTCTAATCTTCCTGACCCCGTCTGTCTCTCTTGACTTCGTCTGACCCCACGGTTCATCCTGACCCTGTCAGACCTTCCTGATTCCATCTGTTCCTTCTGACCCTACTGTTCATCCTGACTCTGTTTGACCATCCTGATCCCGTCTGTCCTCTCATGACCCCGCTGTTCATCCTGACCCCATCTAACCTTCCTGACCCCGTTTGTCCCTCATGACCTCATCTGACCCCGCTGTTAATCCTGACCCTGTCTAATTTTCCTGACCTCGTCTGTCCCTCCTGAGCTTGTCTGACCCGGCTGTTCATCCTGACCCTGTTTGACCTTTCTGCCCCAGGTTTGACATCATCTGACCCTTCTCCTCTTCTTCTGCAGGCCACAGTTTCCAGAGCTGCAGCACACTGGGAGATTTTCCTCACGGTCAGCCTTTATCATCATCACCATCATCAGTGAAAGAATTCATTCAGGGACCACAGCTCTCACACCCCCCGACTGATCCTATGACCCCTGAGAGCCGGACACACACACTGCACAATACTGTGAGTCTAACACAGTTACACACACACACACACAGTTACACACATATACACACTCACATTTGTATATATTTCTTAAGTTAGATGTTATTGTATTTACATTATTAATTGTCACGTTGATTGTGTGTATATGTTTGTCACTTCATGTTTTTGTGTGTTCACAGATGGCTGACTCCCACAGCAGAGATCAATCCCACAACCCCCTTCAGCACAGTCTGACCAATCACCAGCCTCTCCATCACAGTGCCCCGCCCCTTCCCTGCAGACCGCCGCCCACCCAGCATAGCTCCGCCCCTGTGGGTTATAACCCTCTGGAGGATCTGAGCGGTGCACACACACACGAGGCATCTCTAGATGTGAGTTCACACACACTCACTAGTAGAGAGAGAGATAAGGTGAAGAGAGAAAGTGCAGGTCAGATCGAGAGTAAGAGGTTCACAACTTTACTCTGGTTTACAGCCTACTTCATCAGCAATCACTACAGCCGCATCATCTGCCCTGTTAGCCTGAATAAAGTGTGTGTGTGTGTGTGTGTGTGTGCCTGCAAGATTGTCTGATTGTGTGTGTTTGTGTGTGTGTGTGTGTATGTGTGTGTGTGGGTCTTTGTGTGTGTGTGTGTGTGGTGGTCTGTGTGTGTGTGCCTGCAAGATTGTCTGATTGTGTGTGTGTGTGTGTGTGTGATATTTATCTGTGTGTTTTTGCGTGTGTGTATGTGTATGTATATGTGGGCGAAACAGTGGCTTAGCGGTTAGCAGGGTGGCCTCCCAGCAAGAAGGTCTCTGGTTTGAGTATCGGCTGAGTCAGTGTGTGTTTCTGTGTGGAGTTTGCATGTTCTCCCCGTGTTGGTGTGGGTTTCCTCTGAGTGCTCCGGTTTCCCCCACAGTCCAAACACATGCGCTATAGGGGAATTTAACTAAATTGGCCAAAGTTTGTGTGTGTGTGTGTGTGTGAATGAGTGTGTATGGGTGTTTCCCAGTAATGGGTTGCAGCTGGAAGGGCATCCGCTGTGTAAAACATATGCTGGATAAGTTGGCGGTTCATTCCGCTGTGGTGACCCTTGATAATGTGTGTGTTTGTATTTGTGTTTGTGTGTGTGTGTGTGTGTGTGTGTGTGTGTGTGTGTGTGTGTGTGTTGCTGCAGCTCCTGCCAGATCTGATGAACCCAGAGGACCTGCTGACCTTCTTGGAGCCAGAACACACCAGTGGAGGAGACGAGCTGCTGGCACTGTTCCACTGACAAACACACACACATTGACAAACACACACTCATACACACATACACAATGACACACACACACACCAGCAGCTGCAGATCTTCATCACTCCTGCATTCAGACTCTGGAGCACTGCACTCTAGGCCTTATTTACACTTGCACATGTTTCTTAAAGATACCCAGTGTCTCCAGACATCTTCAGACATTCATTTATTCCTCTCATTTTTATCTAATATTATTTATTCAGCCCTATAGTAAAGTAAATATATATAGTAAATATATACAGAATATTCAGACGGTTTTGACATCTCAAACTACAGCTCTTACTCGCATCATATGCAAACGTAAAGAGAAAAATGTGTGTGTGTGTGTGTGTGTGTGTGTGTGTATGTGTATGTGTATGTGTGTGTTTAGATTAATTTAATTATGCCTGAGGAGAGTGTTTGTGTAGAGATCATACATTTGTATTATATCTGTGAAGCCCGTGTAAATATGTGTGACTAAATATGAGTTTCATTCTGATTGGTTGTTCATGCTCAGTGCTTATGAATATTCATATCCAGAGACAGGCTGCGTTCAGAATGCAGTGCTGTATTATATTGTACACTGTATTATAGAGATAAATATATTTATTATTGTCCTGAAAGTTGCACAAAAATTCACTAAAAGTTTTTGCTTGTAAATAAGCTAATCACTTTGTGAATATAATGTAAATATTAATGTATACATGTCATGCAAATCTGAATTCTTTTCAGTGTTCTTCAATGTCATATTTATGATTATTTTCTTTATTTTTCTTTTCTTTTTTTAAATGTGACTTTTAATTGTAATGATTTACAGATGAATGTTTAAGCGTTTATTTTAAACACAATATTTTGTAATTAAATTTAATGCGTCTCCTTTGAATATTAATTTTATCAGTGATCACAGATTCCTGAACTGTAATTTCTGAACGCAGCCTAAACTGTTGGTTCACAAATACACCTTTATTCACCAAAAAATAATATCTGCTGTGGATATTTTACTGTAACGCACACAGAGGTATGTTAATATGTGTAATTAAATACAGGATAAAAGCCTTTATTACGTGGAATAATAAATCTCTACATTATTTATAGCATTTCAGTGAGTTTAATCACGTTTAGCTGTTTTAATATGAAGTTATCTTTTATTGATTGTCTTAAACATGATAATGCTTTGCATCTAATTATGCACATGCAAATATTTTTAAATGTATTTGCATATTGTGCAAATCAAGTCTTCCTTTTTTTTATAAGAGATGTTTAATATTTGACTGAATCATCTTTATCTGTCAAATAATGTCATTTACTTTATTTACTATGACACAGGAATGAATGTGTGTGTGTATAAATGAGGTAAACACAGTAAAACCTCAATAAACTCTGATATTTACTGTTATTACGCTCAATTATTGATTCTGAAAGTTTATTTAGCTGATAATCATTTACTAACTGCAGTTCAAAGATAATTTTGATGATAGTAATATTATTATTTAGCATTAATGTCATATCTTCTTCATGATTTCCTGATGTTTAGTTTAGTAGGTCTGTAAATGTCATCTTTAAATCATTCATAACTGCTTTAAAGTGTTCACTTGATTTACATTCACGTGTGATTTATGAAGCAGTCATGAGACGCATTATTAAAATGTTTGCCTGTTTATTTACGTAATAGATACATCTATTTATTTTTCATTTTATTTAAAAATGTATCATGTATGAATGTGTGTGTTCCTTTTCAGTGTGTGTGTGTTTTGAAAAAATAATACGTAGAAAAATGAGAAAGTATATTAATTAGTTTTCAGTAATGCATGGTATATAATTATTTTAATGCATTTCTAATATATCTATTACTGCATTTATCTTTAATTATTAATAATATTAACAATATACAGTAATATATTAATATTAATAGTCCCAATAACCATCACATCATCACATGATATACACCTTTACCTGGGATTGCATGAAAAATAACAGCATGATCTTTTGGCTTCACTCTAATTAGTTCGCTTGTATTTATTTTTATTGCATATAATCCCACAATATGCCAACAGTACATATTATTACAAGTAGAATTTAAAAATAATAGAAAAAGTAGAATATATAAAATTAAATAAATAAATAAACAGCCATAGGAGTACAAATTAATTAAACTTAAGGCAAAAAATATTATGATGGTCCAGTTTACTTGTCAACTTTGAATTTACAGATTATATTAGAGCTTTTTTTAGGTACATTTATATAGGCAAGGCAAGTTTATCTATCTATACAGCACATTTAATACACAACAGTAATTTAAAGTGCAAAGATTAAACAAAAACAAAATACAACAGATAATGCAAGTTATTAAATCTGGTTAAAATATGAATGGAGGAATATGAACTGGAAAATCGCCCATATCGCAATGCTGATTATCATTAATGAAATGAAAACCATTTACGTTTCCGCGATCAACACGTGACACACAGACACGCGCGCGCTCTCTTCCGTGCACGTGCTTGGTTCTTCTTCCTGTGCGCGCGCTGTCAGTCAGTCAGTCAGGAGTTTCTCACTGGAGTCAGCATGTTAATTCTCGGTAACAGGCTGAAGCTGTGCTCGGTAGCGTTCACCGCGGCGCGTCTGTACAGCACTGGGGTTCAAGCCAACAACAACCCGGTGGTTTTCTTCGACATCGCGGCGGACAACCAGCCGCTCGGCAGAGTCACCTTCGAGGTGCTTGCGGGAGAACTTACACACTCTACTATGAGGAAGGGTCGACTTATGAATATTAATGACGCAGCTCGACATTCTTCGCTTTCATTGGTTTAGAAATGAAACCTTAAAGCACAGCTAACGAATCAGCGAAGGGATCTTGCTGTTAATTAGAATGCGAGACCCTTCACTTCACAGAAGTAAAAATAACGGCTTTTTAGGCTAATTAATATTCATGAGCTCTGCCTTCGTCATAGTAGTGTGTTCATAACTGTCAGTACTGATATTGAGGTAAAGTTGGTCTTATATTCGCACATTCAGACATTCTCCTTGATATAGTTTCAGGAAAGGATTCTTTATAGTTCTGAATATATTATAATGCTAATTCTAAATAGTGAAATCATATGATCAGTCAATGACTATCAAAATACAACGTTGTTTACAGTCAATTAAATAGAGCTAATGTTGTTTTAAAGTAATTCTTACATGCTAATTCAGACCCAATATTCAAAGTAGAGTGTTACGCAACATAGGGATCCTGTCACTGAATGAATGTGCGATTATAAAACTAACTTTACCCCAATAGTACTGATAATTATTGGATAATACTGTATAATGTGTTCATAAATGCTTGTATATGTTTTGTTTATTGTTCGGTTGTATTGCGGAGATGTTAGCACTTTTTTATTCTAGTTGCAGTTTAATTTGAGTTTTGGAGAGGTTTTGAGGTGTTTGTCATTCATTGACCTTTAACTCTTTCTCTTCCTGACCTGCAGCTCAACGCGGATGTGGTGCCCAAAACCGCAGGTAAACACTCTAACACACTTTTATTTGGATGATTTATACCTCACAGTGCTCTTAAAGGGACAGTTTGCTTAAAAACTGAAGTACTTTGCAAATAAGCGATTTCAGGTTTCCAACATTATTCACAATATCTTCTTTTGTGTTCATCTGAAAAAAAAAAACTCAAAAAGGTTTAAAAGAAGTAAAGTTTTGAGCAGTTTTGTGAGAAGTGTGTGTGTGTGTGTGTGTGTGTGTGTGTGTGTGTGTGTGTGTGTGTGTGTGTGTGTGTGCGCGCGCGTGTGTGTGTGTGTGTGACATTAATTTTATTATATTTTCAGCTCATTTAACAAAAGTACTAATATTGATAAGCAAGAGGATAATTTTTGTTGATATATTAGTGAAATGAAATGTTCATACTGTTAGATCTGTAGTGTAAATGAAGACACATTAGATTATTAACATCCTAAACACTAACTTACTGATACTAACATCTCAAAGCTTGGTGTTTATTTCACAGAGACTTTAAGTGTGTGTAACTGACTTTTTAGTTCATTTTCACCTCATCTTAACAAATCTCTGATAATATTGATTACTGCGATCATTTTAATCAGGATGTGAAATGTTCATACTGTTACAACCAAGAGGTGTATTTATTTGTTATTGTTATTGTGTGTTTAGAGAACTTCCGAGCGCTGTGCACCGGTGAACATGGTTTCGGATATAAGGGCTCCATCTTCCACAGAGTGATTCCTCAGTTCATGTGTCAGGTAGAAGATGAAAACACACACTTGCATACACGCTTACACATGCACACAAATGCATGCAAACACACATGCGTGCACACACACGTTTACACAAACATGCACACCTCACAAACATAGTCACACATATGCTCGTTCACACCAAATCAGTACGCACGCATACGCTCTCACATGCTTGCGCATGCACACACACATTCGTGCTCACTCAAATACCTCACACGTGCTCGCACACACCTCACATATACACATTCATACACATGCCTATACACACCTACTGGAGCTCACAGACACGTGGCTCAGTCTACACACACACACACACACACACACACGCACACACACACTCATGAGCACTTCAGTTACTCATCTGTTTTGGGCTGTTATGACCTTAAAGGGCCACCTTACCCTACATTATAATTCCGTCATAATTTACTCGTCTCAGTTTCAAACCTGTTTGAGTTTCTGTTGAACACAAAACAAGATAACCTGAACAAGTTTGAGTCACTTGTACATTAAGGAAGCGTTCAGAAAAAACAAAACAGCAGCGAAGAAACTCGACACAGAGAAACATAAACACCTCACTGCCAACTAGCGTTTCAGACGTGTTCTTGCAGAGCAACAGAAATGCACGGCAATGCACAAGGCATGCGCAGTGGGTCACGCCGATCACTCGACGCAGAAGTGTAACCAGGCATTAGGTGATTCATTTAAAGGTGTTTTCTGTCACTGTGCATTCAGTGTAAAGCTGCACAATTAAAGATTCAAAGATCATGATCTCAGTGCACACCCACGCAACATGAATCATAAATGATGATGATTTGCATATGTTTATTAATCCTTTGAAGCAATGCAGTCAGATCTGCGTTTGATTGAGAGAGATTCAGTTTTTACGCTCATTCAGTGAGTTACTAACAGTGAAATAACACAGCAGTACTGGGAGAACAGCTTATAGCTCAGATTTAAACACTGATGATTATGGTGAAGATTAAAATCACCGTTTAATGGAACTTGACGCTGGTGAATATTGTAGCAATTACATTAGGTAACCAATAGGTTGTGAAAAACAACCATCAAAATGATGTCACTGAGTAGGTTTTCAGAAGTGATCCACCTCTAATCAAACATGAGATTTAATGAGTTGAATTGTTGATCATTAATTAAAAATAAATGATCTGTTGAACAAGGTGTTAGATTTCTATATTTAGCAATATCAGCAACTGTAGCAAAGATTAATTTTCATATTGAATGTTTTCCTTTTTCAGCTGCTTCTTTCTTCTCAGTTGTTTGGTAACCCAGTGGTTTTTGCAGTAATATTTTTGTATAAATGGAAAGCAAATGGCATTTGTCTCCTCTCTTTCTTGCTGATCTGAAAAATGGTCAAATACCGAAGTGTGATCTGAGCTGTGCGATTTGTGATCCGTAACACCACTACATGTGATTAATCTTTGCCCAGCGCTAACAAAAAAGTTTATCCCACTCAGCTGTGTGAATGTTTTTTTCTTTCTTTCTTTTTTTTGTGCACTTTTTAACATCTATGCAGATTTTGCCATCTTTATTAATAATTTTTTATGCAATACTACACAATGTACATGAAAAATAAGTGGCTGGAAACACACCTACTGACTTTTATACAGGGTGTCCTCGGGGTCTTATAAAGTATTTAGATATAGTTGATAAATAAATTAAGAGAAAAAGGTTTTAAAAGATATTAAAAAGTCTTAATCACATTTTTATAAGGTCTGAAATTTTGTTCAAGCATTGTCCAAAGTGTTTGACTCCAAAAAAGCATAAATATATTTATTTTCGTCCGGTATGCTCGATCCATGCAATCGGATCGAAAAAAAAGCATAGATATCAAACCTCTTTAGATGCTCCAGAACGCAGCAGCTCGAGTGGTCTTTAATGAAGCTAAAAGAGCACATGTCACTCCGCTGCTCATCCGTTTGCACTGGCTGCCAGTTGCTGCTCGCATCAAATTCAAAGCTCTGATGTTTGCCTACAAAGCGACTTCTGGCTTTGCTCCTTCTTATCTGCTCTCACTTCTGCAGATGTATGTGTCCTCCAGAAACTTGCGTTCTGTGAATGAACGTCGCCTCGTGGTTCCATCCCAAAGAGGGAAGAAATCACTTTCCCGAACTCCCGCATTCAATCTGCCCAGTTGGTGGAATGAACTCCCTAACTGCAGCAGAACAGCAGAGTCACTCGCTGTCTTCAAGAAACCACTAAAAACTCAACTATTTAGTCTCCACTTCCCTTCCTAATCTGCAATTGCCTCTCTGACTCCACCGCTAACTGCACTACAAAAATATATATAAATATATTAAATTACTAATGTTTTGCTTCTTACACTTCACACACCTAAACTTGAAAAGTGAAAAGTGACGTGAAGTGACGTGAAGCTCTCCACATGTAGTGAAACAGATGGGAAGGTGGGCATTTTGCATACTGCTGGTTGTAGAAAGACAAGTTTAAACAGTGGCTGGAGCCTGCAGCTGAAAACAACCTCGTAATTTATTCTTTCAAGCTTAAATTCATCTGATCTTATCTGAGTCCTGTTGCATGGTTGTGCTCCATTGATTTATTGAACAAACTGTTTATTAACAACTGTTTACTGATTAGAACTTAAAGTGGCGAGGAAATCTTAAAATATTCAAAGGTCTTTAAAAAGTCTTAATAATGTATTTAAATCACCTTTAGGATTTCTGCGTATGCCCTGTAATAGTTAACAGAAAATAGCTGGGATACACCAAATATTTAACCACTAAAAGTTACTTATTGTTTGCAAAATTCAGCATATTTTGGCAAATTTTAATGGCAAGTTCAGTGCATCTCTAGTATTCTTTGCTTCTCTTTACAAGCACTTGAGTGTGAGTAAATGTGGAAATGTAGATTGTTGGTGTACTGTCTCTTTAAATATCACCGTTCACACTGTAATCAGAGTTCTTTGTTTTGCACCAATATTTTAAACTTTTGAATGACTATCCTCACATCTGATGACACACACACACACACACTATTGCATGTAATTTATTAGGTGAATAATCATGTTTATATTGATGTAGGGTGGAGATTTCACCAACCATAATGGAACTGGAGGAAAATCCATATATGGGCCGAGATTTCCTGACGAGAATTTCAAACTCAAACACACCGGACCAGGTAAAGAAACGTGTGTGTGCGTGCGTGTGTGTGATCTTCTGTATTCAGTCTGTGAATGTTGCTGAGTTTGTTCAGTTCAGTATTCAAAGGTCAATCTTGATAATACTCTTGTTGATAGTAGTGGAACAAATAACACTATTTATACACACTTTTACACATCTGGGTCTCGGCTGTGTCAGTTGGTGTTTCTGTGTGGAGTTTGCATGTTCTCCCCATGTTGGTGTGGGTTTCCTCCGGGTGCTCCGGTTTCCCCCACAGTCCAAACACATGCGCTATAGGGGAACTGATCAACTACACTGGCTGTTGTGTGAATGAGTTTCCTAGTACTGGGTTGCAACTGGAATCCACAGCGTAAAACATATGCTGGAATAGTTGGTGGTTCATTCTACTGTGACAACCTCTGATAAATAAGGGACTAAGCTGAAGGAAAATGAGTGAATGAATGAATATAACTGTGCATACAATATAGTCTATAGTAATATAAATGCATTTGAATATTACAAATTAAACTGAAAATGATGTCTAATGTTTTTTATGTACACCCTTAATTTATTTTTATTTATTCAGTATTATTGATATATAACATTATGTATTTAATGTCAAACTACATTTGTATATTATAAATCTCTTTTTTCTTCTTATTACTTTATTATCTGTGCTGTTCTGCTAGTGTTATTCTGTTGTACTGTGAAGCTTCTGTCATAAACGCATTCCTGGCAATATTTTATTTAATAATTTCATTTATGATTTTGATTTATATGGTTTGTAATAGGCTGTAGACTCCGCTAGATGGCGCTGTCGTCAGTTAAATGCGTAATGAATGCGTGGAAATCAGTGGTGCTGTCTGAAATCTGAAACTGTTTAATGCATTACTTATTTATTAAATAAAGACCAAATATTAGATGTATGAAATATTATTTGAAAACAGAAATTAAACATGCACTTTTAGCTTTGGCAGCCAACTGCAGTATAATGAGACACTAAACTGAAACAAAACTATGAATTAATACAAAATCACATACAAATGACCAAATGTGCATTAAAATTGTAGTGAAGATGATCATAAAACATGATGGCTTCAATAAATAATTAAATATATTCTCCAATCTGACAGAGAAGTCTCATATAAGTGTGGAATAATGGACGACTGACCATTGAATTATTAGAAGGTAATGCACAGCTGATGCGGAGAGGTGGACTGGCTGTTATTCATTCATTAATTAGTTTTGTTTTCGGCTTAGTCTCTTTATTAATCAGGGGTCACCACAGTGGATGAACCGTGAACTTATCCAGCATATGTTTTTCAAAGCGGAAGCCCTTCCAGCTGCAACTCAGCATTGGGAAACACCCATACACACTCATAAACTACGACCAGTGTAGTTGATCAGTTCCCCTATAGCACATGTGTTTGGACTGTGGGGGAAACCGGAGCACCCGGAGGAAACCCACGCCAACACGGGGAGAACATGCAAACTCCACACAGAAACACCAACTGACCCAGCCGAGACTCAAACCAGAGACCTGAGTGCTGTGAGGCGTTTGTGCTGCCCGCTGTGCCACCCTGACACCCAGAGTGGCTGTTATTTTCTAATAATTCAATGGCTTGTGTTAATTATTGAACTTATACACTGGTGCCAACAGTGTTTAAATGTTGTTTACACACACACACACACACACACACACACACACACACACTATAGAATGCTTGAATCGGATTGGCTGATGAACAATCTAATGTTATTTCCAAACAGAGATATATATATATATATATATATATATATATATATATATATATATATATATGTATATGTATATGTGCATGCGTGCGTGCGTCTAATTGTGAATCTACCACGCATTATGTTGCACTACTTGTTTTTTCAGCCTTAAATAACTCTTAATATCTTGCACAATAATGTTCTGCCTTATGTAAATGTACTTGAACAGTCTGTCTTAGGTCCTAGGCGTATAGTTAAGTACATGTATAGTTGATATCGTTAGATTAGTGCTCCAGTATGTTAGTAATGTATGTTAGTAATGTAGGGTTAAACAGCTCTTCCTGTGTTGTGTTTATATATGTGCAGTGTGACATTACATTTATTTCCACTGTATGTCCACACATGACAATAAAGCTCAACTTGATCTTGATATATACACACACACACACACACACACACACACAAACACACACACACTAAACTAATCGTAATAATCAAAGTACATCTAGTAAAATAAGTTTCCGCTGTGGCAACCCCAGATTAATAAAGGGACTAAGCCGAAAAGAAAATGAATGAATAATTTAAATGTGTGTGTGTGTGTGTGTGTGTGTGTGTGTGTTCAGGTATTCTGTCGATGGCGAACGCTGGAGTGAACACAAACGGCTCTCAGTTCTTCATCTGCACAGCTAAAACAGAGTGGTAGGACACAACCTTCTTCAACATCATCATCATCATCATTAGTGTGTGTTTAGACGTGATCTGCAGCGCGTGTGTGTGTGTGTGTGTGTTTAGGCTGGACGGGCGGCACGTGGTGTTCGGCAGTGTGAAGGAGGGCATGGATGTGGTGCGGAAGGTGGAGGCGCTGGGCTCACGGTCGGGACGCACCGCTCAGAGGATCAGCATCACTGACTGTGGAGAACTCAAGTAGAGCAACACACACACACACACACACACACACACACACAGTGTCAGACTGCTGGACAGATAATGTGAACGCTCTGGGTTAAATGATCATTCATTGACTCGGTGTCTAATGCTGATGTAGCGCTGCAGAGGTCTCCGTGCAGCATTCAGGCTGTTTTCTGTTTGTTTGTCTTTTATTTTTGTCAATGTTCAAGCATTTATCCTGACAGAGACTGCAATAAAACCCTCTGATCACTTTTATAAGTCATTAATTTTGGCTCTTGGTTAATACAATCTCTTGTTGTACACCAAACAGCAACAGAAACATTGATATGTACTGTCTAAAGCCATGTGTACAGGCGTTATTAACCTAAAGTAACTCAACTGTGAAAGTCATTGTTAGCTGTTTCTCGGGTACTGTACTGAATCTGGACTTTTGTTCTTATGCATACGATGATGATGAATTCTGGTCAATGTTTATCTGAGAGTGAATGAGAAATCCAAAATAAAGCAAGAGCAATAATCAACGTAGGTTGCAGAAGTTTATTACTGTGTAAGAGCCAGTGGGTTTCAGATAAAGCTCATCTCAGAGATTCTTTTGCGTCTCTTTTCTTCTGTATTTTTATTTTTCTTTGTTTTGTCAGATGGTGGTGCTGCGTCTGTCAGTGTCTGTTTCATCTTCTACTGCTACAATGTTGCGGTTTTGTTGAACTGGAGTGTTTGATGTTGCAACAAAGTAACAATAAGAGCAGTTCAGAATGTGAAATGTAGCAATCTCAGTGTCGCCTCAAGAGGCACTGCAGAGGATATGAGTGTACTGCCTTTTTCTCTCTCTCACACACACACACACACACACGGGAGTGAGCGCCACCTAATTGTTTCATCGCAAAGAGGCAATAAAGCTGCCTTTTCACTGCATATGACATTCGGACACGACTGTTGGAATACGCCTCCCTTGTGGTAGTCACACAGAATTTTCAGTTTTGTGGTGACCATAGGAGAAAAGCTGATTCTCAAAATCCTTCTGAAATAAAGGAGCGCAAAAGCAAGAGCATTTTATTTCCTGTTTGTCACCATAGTTGAATAAAACTACTAGACTCATAGACAGCTAAAAATTTTACATAAAAAATCTATATTTTATCATAAATAAATATATTTTAAATGTTTTTTGTTAGGTTTTTTTAATAAAATTTCTTTTTTAATCAGAAAAAAGTTCACAAATCACAAAAAAACTGCTATTTCTCATCTCATGCTCACAGACCGGCTTGGACAACACTGGAATACATCCCTTCCGGTCGGCCAGTCGCATTCACTCTAGTCACAGGAGTTCAAATATTATAACAGATCTGCAGCTCAAATCGGATCCGAATTTTCCTCATACGGAGATGATCGGAACACCACACATCTCCCAGAGTTCTCTACATTGGAAATGAATGACTTCCGGTCTGTCGCTTGTCGTGTGCAGTGAAAAGGCGGCTTAAGTCACTTTCCAAAACCTTTTCATTCACTGCTCCATGCTGGTGGAGTGATCTTCAGATTCTCTCACAGATGCAGATACACTGGTATCCTTCAAACCACAACTAAAAACCTCATCATCTCTTCTGAGATCACCTGAACCTCTGTCAATAAAACAAAGACCCCTCTCCTCTCCCCACACCACACGACAACCTCAAATCATTATCAAATCCGAGTGTGCCTCACACAGGGGATTGAGCTCGACAGACCACTTGTAGAAAACAGCTTTTCATCTCTGACACTTACACCAAACTGTTTTACAAGACTTCATATGTATTTCTAAAATATATATATATATATATGCATTCACACTCTCATCTGCCACTTTATTAGGTACACCTGTCCAACTGCCTGTTAACACAAATGTCTAATCAGCCAATCACATGGCAGCAGCTCACTGCATTTCAGCATGTAGACATGGTGAAGAGGATCTGCTGCAGTTCAGAGTGAGCATCAGAATGGGGAAGAAAGGGGATTTAAGTGACTTTGAACGTGGCATGGTTGTTGCTGCCAGACGGGCTGCTCTGAGTATTTCAGAAACTGCTGATCTACTGGGATTTTCATGCACAACCATCTCTAGGCTTTACAGAGAATAAAGAGGAAATATCCAGTGAGTGGCAGTTCTGTGGGCGCAAATGCCTTGTTGATGAGGCCAGGGGTCAGAGGAGAATGGCCAGACTGGTTCCAGCTGATAGAAAGGCAACAGTAACTCAAATAAGCACTCGTTACAACCGAGCTCTGCAGAAGAGCATCTCTGAACACACAACACGGCCAACCTTGAGGCGGATGGGCTACAGCAGCAGAAGAGCACACCGGGTGCCGCTCCTGTCAGCTAAGAACAGGAAACTGAGGCTACAATTCACACAGACTCACCAAAACTGGACAATAGAAGATTGGAGAAACGTTGCTGCTCTGATGAGTCTCCATTTCTGCTGACACATTCAGATGCTCGGCTCAGACAACATGAAAGCATGGATCATCCTGCCTTGTATCAGCGGTTCAGGCTGGTGGTGGTGGTGTAATGGTGTAATCAGTGTGTATTGCCTCTTGTTGAATCGCTGAATGCCTCCTCAATTGTAAGTCACTGTGGACAAAAGCGTCTGCTAAATGTAAATGTGTAAAGGCGGTTGCTATGCTCTTCTGAGTGCTTGCTTATGCTGTTGCTCATTTGCTACTCATTGTCTCAGTCTAAATGTTTCATACATGTTTAACATCCGGACATTTTTGAAACATGTAAGCATCTCTTTATGGCTCATACAGTGAGCACAGAACTCCTTTTTGACCCAGCTGCAGCATCTCCTGACAGAAATCCGACCCTGAGGTTAAGGATGATTGCTTAAGGGAGATATTTTGATTGGTTATAGTTACAGAACTTAATACCTGATTATTATAAAAGATTGCGGCACAAGATAGAGGTCAGCCTGTATATTGCGCCCTCTGGTGTTGATGATCATACATTACAGGCTGCTCTTCAGTACAATGCTCTTCAACTTTGTGAAATTCGACACTCCTTTTGTTTGTAAGGGTGTGTGTGTGTGTGTGTGTGTGTGTGTGTGTGTGTGTGTGTGTGTGTGCGCGCGCGCTTTTGCTCTTTGTTTGTGTTTTGTATTAAAGTATTGAAATAATAATTGTTCATTGTGTGTAACAAACACACGGATTTCACTGATGAAATAAATAAGGGTCAGTATGATTTTAGCAAATACTTTAGGTATTTCTAAAGCCTGTGTTTCCCTCCCTGCCCTGTAAATGTGTGTGTGGATGTGTGATGTTCACTATATGACGTAAAAAGGTGACCGGTTTTTCCACTGGTTTCTATTAACACACTGAAGCCAAACCCATCAGTCACTCCTCAACTCCAGTGAACATCCACACTGATCTCATGCAAATCTGTGTTTGTAAGAGAGAGTGTTTGTGCGAGTCTGGGAGTGTGTATGTTTTTGAGAGATTGTGTGTGTGAGAGTGTTTGTTGGAGTGTGGTATGTGTGTTTGTCTGTGTTTTTGTGTGCTTGACAAGTATTATCAACAACTCAAACAACAACCCAGAGTTCTTCAGTCTTCTAGTCTAAAGTCCTCGTTTGTATTGATTTTAGGTTTGTCAGTATCTTTCATTTGGGTTTTGAATCTTGATAAAAGAGGTGTGCAGTTACTAAATTTACTACTGGAATGTGAAATTTACCCAGAAAAACAAAATATAATAGGTTTACAGCCATTACTATAACATTCTTATTATTAAATACATTCAAAATCGATGTTTGCATAATATTTTATCAAACCCACAATGTCACTGAGGGAAGGTATTTCCAAAACACTGACAAAATAATGTTAATATCATTCTTAAGGTTTTTATGAAGAAATACTATTGTCATTTATACTAAATAGTGCTGTGTTTTTGAGCCACACTATACACTGTATATTAAAGTACTTGAATTAATTGTGGTGATTCTACAGTTGCTATGGTAACACAACAACTATAGTAATTGATCTGTTGTGGTGATTCTACAGTTGCTATGGTAACACAACATCTACAGTAATTGATCTGTTGTGGTGATTCTACAGTTGCTATGGTAACACAACAACTATAGTAATTGATCTGTTGTGGTGATTCTACAGTTGCTATGGTAACACAACCACGATAGTAATTGATCTGTTGTGGTGATTCTGCAGTTTCTATGGTAACACAACCACGATAGTAATTGATCTGTTGTGGTGATTCTACAGTTGCTATGGTAACACAACAACTATAGTAATTGATCTGTTGTGGTGATTCTGCAGTTTCTATGGTAACACAACCACGATAGTAATTGATCTGTTGTGGTGATTCTACAGTTGCTATGGTAACACAACAACTATAGTAATACAAACAATTGAGCCAATACTGTAATTTTTTTACAACTATTGAATATATTATAATACAATACACATTCATAGTGAATAATTATATAATTATAAATAATATTTGTTACTTTTTATTGTATTTGTGTATTTTTATTTTTGTATTATTATTAAAAGGTTATTTATTTAATTGTGTCCTTTATTACTTTGATGTTGTAATTATATTCCATAATGGCAGATTTAACCAATAAGCAAGGTAAGCTGCTGGAAATCTGAGGGCCCCCAAATAAATGCCTAAAAGTATAAATGATTCTATAAATTATATATTTATGCGCAGTGGCGCAGTAGGTAGTACTGTCACCTCAAAGCAAGAAGGTCGCTGGGTCGAACCTCGGCTCAGTTGGTGTTTCTGTGTGGAGTTTGCATGTTCTCCCTGTGTTCGCGTGGGTTTCCTCCGGGTGCTCCGGTTTTCCCCCAAAGACATGCGGTACAGGTGAATTGGGTAGGCTAAATTGTTCGTAGCATATGATTGTGTGTGAATGTGTGTGAGATGGGTTGCGACTGGAAGGGCATCCGCTACGTAAAAACTTGCTGGAATAGTTGGCGGTTCATTCAACTGTGGCGACCCCGGATTAAATAAGAGACTAAGCCGACAAGAAAATAAATGAATGAATGAATGAATATTACATCTGCGCTACTGTGCATCCTCCACCTTCAATCATGGACCAGTCCAGCAGTCACATCAGTAAAGTTCATTTATCATTTTTAGTTGTGAACGCAGTTTAAGAAAACAAATCATTTCAAACGATTTACAAGGTGCTTTTACACTTTATTATTTTTAGTTTGCATTAAGATAAAATGTAGAAAAGGAGATGGAATGATATAAGAAAACAGCAAACAATAACAAAATTAAAGGTGCATTTTAGAAATGTTGGGCCCCATGGTTGGAATTGCTTAGGGCCCCAAAAATCTCTAAACCCGCCCCTGCATATTGTATACTTAGAGGCTTTAGCAATACTCACACACATATGCCGTTCAACTAGTGTGTGTGTGTGTTAGTAAATATCTGTGTTGTTTAAACCCAGTTCAAATATGGACAACTCAACCATTAGGTTAAACATATAGAGTATACACAGAATATGTACAGGATATACGTGTACAGACCATAAGACAAACAGAA